CTTTTAACAGTGGCATGGGAGTTTGCGAATAGGGATATAACATGGGAAAGCTTCAAGCGCATCAGGTAAACTAGTTAAACAACTCCTACAAGCTCTTTGGGCAGTTAGGCAAAGGGGTTTATCTGAATAGATTGGTCAGGCCAGAAGCATACTGTTAATCGTTCTGCGCTCCGACTATCCATCTCACTTCCAGTTGGGAGCATTCCACTTTTACTGTTAACAAAGTGATTAATATTTGGTTGCCTTAAGCTCAAAAAATTGCTACTTTAACCCATCATCTGATGATGCATCCAAAAAGAATGTCAGAATGGGTGGTTGGAAACTCACAGTAAGCACCACCTTCTACAACAAAGTTCCTCCTGCGACTAGTTCGTGACTATCCTAGCAGCTTGGAAATATGGATGCCTCTATGCGTCTGCAGAAATCCCACTGGTGATAGCGCCTCTGCTGAGATCAGCCTGCTTCCATACGTCAACAGTCCAGTCGTGACATCATACACTAATTTCGAGGTCATATGCTGGCAAGACACAAGTTGAGTGCATTCATCCACCCACGCACCAAGCATCGCTTCCCTTCAACAAAATTGAAGTCGAAATCCTGAGCGGCAGAAGGTAGTTCCTCAATTCATTCAACTTACAACAAATACGGTCAATGTGACAATGATGTCTGCGGGGATAGCTGTTGCTCCTCCCATTCCTGCTATTTGATCTGACACTATTGCAAATGCACTGATCCCGTGAGCTGATGAGCGTTTCTGCGATGCTCTACAACTCTGTCACCCTTCACCAATAGTGGTGGGATTCAAAGCAGATCACAGCGGTGGTAGTGACAGGAGGTTCGTTGGATTGCATCCTATTATGCGGAAGTGGTGCGACAATCACATTGCGGGGTTGTAGAACGACCACGCATAATATTGAACTTTTCTGTTTAGATGTTCAGCCATTGTAGAAGTCCCTCATGTGCACTAGCCTCATGAAGACGCTTGACAAGCAAACTTGCAGTAAGACGATCACTAGGTGGATGGGTGGATGGGTAGGTGGGATTGGTGAATACCTTGACTGGAAGGGACGCGACGTCCAACGAAGGCTTCCTCTCACATGGAAATGCGGTGAGTAGGGAGGGATGGATCATCTTGAATGGAGGTTAAGCTACCGCAGACTCATGTGTCACATGAATCTCATTCAATTAACCGTGGAGTAGCGGTAGAGTTTCACGAAAGCTGACTTCGTATGCCAACTTATTAGGAGATTTCACTGTAGTGCGAACACCCTAATATGCTTTTCGTTTTTTGTTGCCTAACCATCCAAGTCTGTAATCCTCCACTCACCACATGAAAAGAGTAGGTTTAGGAAAGTAGTCTTTCCTCTGCAAAATTCAGAAAACCTGACCAGCATTTCCTCCTTCAGGATTTGAGCAAGATGAATGTTAGTTGGTCCAGAAGGGGACAGCCTCTTCATTTTCCGCCTTCTACACAACTCCAATGAAGCACATCAGCACTAATTGTTTTCTTGCTTTGGGCTGATTGTCAGCTTTCAGATATCTGTTGACAGTGTCACAAGACAAAGCAAATCC